GTCGTGGTCCATGCTGTCCCAATATCGGACCACCTCTTTTTTCATTTCAGCAATATTTGTCAGATTTTTCTTATTGACACTTTCCTTCATAAGTCCCGAAACATTTTCTATTGGATTTAGTTCAGGGCTATAGCTTGGCCAATCTAATAATGTCATATTTTGGGTCCGAAACCAGGCCTGTGAATGCTTTGAACGATGTTTTGGGTCGTTGTCCAGCTGGAAAATCCAAAGATTTCCATAGAACACGTGAGCAGATGGAAGTAAATGTCCCTCGAGAATATCTGTGTACCGCTCACTGTTCATTTTCCTTCAAATACACACAGGGGCGTTGACCCTAACACAGATATGCCACCCCACACGTTAAATTTCGGACTGTACTTTGGGCGCTGATACAAAGGTTTTTCAGTTTGTTTGGTCCAGAATTTCAGTGTATTAGGAAACAGCCACACAGAACTTTCATCTGAGAAAATCACATTGTCCCAGTTAAAATCTTTATGCTGTAAGCACCATTTCAACCTTCGCTCCTTTTGTTCATGTTTCATGATCGGTGATGGAATTCCTCGACATTTTTGCCAACCCATTGCATGCAGCTCAGTTCTAATTGTCTCCTTACAGACAGCCAGTTCCAGTATCCAGCCTTAAGTTTTCTAAACTCCTTCGTTTGTTTCCAGAAACAAGAATACCAAACCGCCTCCTGCCACCGACAGTAATTTTTCTGGGCCTACCTGCGCCTCCCTGGTGCTCAATGCCATATCCATTTGCAATATTTTTCAAAACACGATAAACAGTGGGCAAAGGGATGCCTGTTCTACTTGCAATCACTTCACCTGATCTGATGTCCTTGTTATAATACTCTAAAATCAACTTCCTCTTCTCTAAATTATCCATACTGAGGATCACTGAAAATGTCGCCTGCTAGCAAGTAAACTAAGGGGGATAACTCTTCACAAATTAAAGAAAAAGGATTAACGGAGTTGTCTATCTTGAATGAAACCAAGCACTTGACAGCTGGTCAAGGTTGTTTATACTAAAAATCCAATTAAACATATTCCTAAAATTCTCAATAATTTCTGGTCATACTATACCATGCACAGGGCTTGGCGTGACCAACGGATTGATAGAACCGGGCCAGTTCTAGCACCCGTCTAGGTGAAGTAATGGGCGAAGTGGTGTGTTGGGCAAAGGAACGCTGTTCCTGGAACCAGTGCCCTCAACCTCCAGACTCCCATCCTCCACCGACACAGGGGCGCAACCCACGGCAAACGGGTTGGTGGACCAAATATACCCCCGGGTCCACAATGGGGGGTTGAAGAGCGCTTAGCGTTACCCAGCACCCACCACGAGGAGGTGGCTCTTCACGGGTGCCTGTTACATTTGACCACTTTCTAAATGGCTTTGTGTATTCACAACTTTCGGTCGTGGAAAGCCGTGCCAATTTACGCTTGTAAGGACGTGATCTGGACTACCAGTTGTCCGACTTCCATTTTTATGGAAGCCGTTGTGGCTATATGGATCGTTGACTTTGTGTGCTGGCGATTAGGTGCCTGACTCCGAGAGTGTGGATTCGAATCCTGGATGGGATTCAACCCGATAAAAGTACTAGAATCTATACTTTATTGAGAAAGTGTAATCTCAAATATAACATGTGTTACAATATATATAATAACATATTTTGTCAAACCTGAAGTACAAGGTACTGATGAGTGCTCAGATCTGTCCTCAGATAACACAGGCGTTATATGTGACATTATTTTATTTGTCACGTACATCCTTTTTTATCATATATGATGCTTACACATACTGGTTATGTTATGACTCTTCTCTTAATCTACAGTTAAACACGAGCCGCTACTGTCACTGAAGCAGCTTCCGTCTTTCATCCATTCCTGCAGTAAACAGAGAATGTGACATATCAACATCATTCTATTAAAGTACCAGCGCTATGCTGACACTGCCATGTTAATACCATCTCGTGGTCATCATCCCCCGACTGAACGCCGTCACCCCTCAATAGCGACCTGTGGTGATAATAGTGCCGTGGTACGTACCACTTGGCAGATATATTTACACAGTATAAGGTTGTTTTCACTGTATATTTCCCGAGGTTGACCCCACTACAGAGTCAAGTCGTGAGCACGATTGGGCGTTGGTTGACTAAGTAAACCGTCTTCATTCACTATCGATTCGACCCCCTCGTATGTTTGTTTTACTTGGGAACATTATGAATGTTCCTAACTTCATGTGTCTGGCATTGCTGAATGGTAGGGCAATATGACCTTAGCAATTACGGGTGAAGGTCACTGGCACATGCAGCTCTGTGATGCACCCTTTTTGCATGAATTGTGTGCCAGTCGTTACTGGATCTAACGATTGTGGGGAGATTCGATATATTTGGTCCGAACCGGGCCCGCGTTTCATTCAAATCGACAAGTTTCATTAAACGATTTGAAATAATTAAAGTATGTTTTAAAACATCTCTTTCCCAACTCACTCTCATTCACACAGAGGCAGGCGTTCGCCTGTCACGCCGAAGACCCAGGTTCGATTCCCCACATGGGTATAATGTGGGATATAAATACAGAATCTCACCCGAGTGTCTTTTGGTATCAAATATATCACCACGAGTTCATTAAGTTTGAAATATCCGAGGCTTGCTGAGGATGTTTTCACTTTTATCAATGAGTGTTGATATATTTGATGGGGACGGTGGGGTAGTCTAGTGGTTAAAGCGTTGGCTCGTCACGCCGAAGACCTTATTGTAATCCCCACATGGATACAATGAGTGAAGCCCATTTCTGGTGTCCCCGCCGTGATATTGCTGGAATATTGCTAAAACCGGCGTAAACCAAAACTCAGTCAGTCAGTGATATATTTGATTACAGAAGACACGAGGGTGAGATATCTATTTATCATAAAAATCACTCTTCATTAGTTTTCAATTGAAAATGTACATCTCTGAACACGGTACTGCTATAAGACTTGCAGTGCAGCGATGTCATAACATTGTGACGTCATCAGGATTTTGACGTGATAGCATTGCGAGGCAGTTAATTGATGACGTCAGAGAATTGTACAAAATCTACTGTCAAAACGATATCTCCCAGGAGATATCCTTTTATCTCACACAAGCAATATCTCCCGTGGAACACAGTTTTGGTTGATAACAGCGTTTATATTCATCTATATACTTGCCCCAAAGGAAATTTGGTCTGTTATTAATATATATCCTATATGTTGCATTACAGTCTGGGACCCGTGAAGGTCCCGGTTAGAATTAATCTTCAGTACCCATGCTTATCGTTAGAGGCGACTAACTGGATCGGGTGGTCAGGCTCTCTGACTTGATTGACACATGTCATCGGTTCCCAGTTGCGCAGATCAATGCTCATGTTGTTGATCACTGGACTGTCTTGTCCTGACTCGATTATTTACAGACCGCCGCCTTATAGCTGAAAAATTGCTGAGCGCGGCGTAAAACTAAACTCGCTCGTTCACTCATTACAGTCTGATGTAAAAGTACGAAATACGGATAAGGACCTTCATGACATCGGGATATGGAAATTTGAATAGTGGCAGGGCACGCTTACACCTGGGTTCATCACACGCGGTTCACAGTTATTTCGCTTTGTATGCCCGGTGGAATCTGTACATATTATTTTAAAAAATGTTCATGTCTAATAATGTGTAAGAACCAACAAACATGGGTACAATGTGTAGCCTGGATAATGTTGAATCACCGTACCGTGAAGGCGGAGTTTGTGACGTCACGCTTGTCGAAGTGGTCGACAGGTGCAGACTGTGCTGAAATAGCGTGCAGTCTAATGAATGTATAGTACAGCGCAGATATCTGGACTTACTCAATACTTCAGTGTCTATACACATCCTTACGCCATTCCTTGAAAACAGTAAACAAACAAAACCGTTCTTTCCATTCATAAACATTCATATGATTCCGTCACATGTTATTCAGCCCAGTATAGGTTATATATTGCCACATTCTGACCCACTCTTACAAACGAGTCGATTAGAAACATTTTGTTAAAAGAGATGCCAGATTTTGTATGATAGTAAATTGAATGTGTCTGATCGCCATCGCACATGACGAACACGGTGTTAATGTCGTGTTTGATTAGGGACATCTTGAGCAGCGAGTTTAGCCCTCACATCTTTAACCTGGAATCAAATATGGGGTGTGGCGAGTTCAACCATGTCTGAAGCAGGACCTGTCCTTTTCTTTCTACTTTCTACAAAACGGATTCACGTACCATAAATTGTTTAATAGCAATAGTACTCACATTAATGCCACTTCGATAATATCTGTGGTGACGGTGTCTAGCACCTCCGACGTTGGTGGCACAATGGGGGTCGGATGATCTGACGGTGCTACTGATGCAGTAGGCCTTGATATCAGTTGAGCTGCGAAGGGCTCAATGTTACCGATACCAGATAGATATGATCAGCGGAATTGCATCTACACATATCCTAAGAAAAGTGCAAAGAGTACCCGTCTTAACTATCCCACTATCCTCAGCTACAAAGGACTGCGAATACCTCAGTCCGCAAGTGTTTCGAAATTGTGAAGATAATTCAGATTAAGTGATGAAGAATCACGGCATTAAAGTTGCGTCTTGCCCGTTTATGTTCATGGTATAGTACCATGGAGATTAATGTCGAAAGGATATTTTGTACGAATGAATCGTCAAAGTGTCTGTCAGGTAGTCGGAAAAGGGGTTGATCTTGAAATGAACATATTAAGATCTTGTAGGATAGTTCCACTGACTTGACGAGCATATTCATACAACCAGGGGCGGTGGGGTAGGCTAGTGGTTAAAGCGATCGCTCGTCACGCCGAGGGCCCTGGTTCGATTCCCCACATGAGTATAATACGTGAAGCCGATTTCTGGTGTCCCCTGCTTTGATATTGTTTGAATATTGCTACAAATGGTGTAAAAGTAAACTCACTCACTCACTCACTCATACAAACTGTATTTGTTTTTCAGACGCGGTGACGGAGATTTACATTTCCAAGAATGAGTGTTGAACTGACTCAGGTCACACCTCGCCTTCCAGACGGGGCGGAGAAAGGCCAAGACAACCCGGCTTATCTTAACACAAGTATTGACAATCTCCAAAATGTAAGTTGACAACACAAATGAATAACAATCATTCAAAAAATATTTGAAATTACCTAAGTGAAAGGTGTTTCTTATGGGAGGCACTATTCCACGTTTTGCTCAGCGGATCAACGAGATCTATAATTGAGAGAAAGAATTTCTCTTTGCCCTGACCCTGCTCATGGTAATCGTCTAAGACTTGCATCCCCTTCTTTCACTGGCTTTCCCTCTGCACCATGCAGACAAATAATATTACTAAACTGCTGTTCAGATTGTCATTAATCCTAACTCACTAATAAGAATAGAATAGGAAAAACAACCCAAATCTAATAATAAAGTTTATTTCATTTGGAGTAGGATCTTGGGCACAGAAGACCTCGTCGTGTTGGGAGGCCAATTCGGCGCACAGGGTTGCTTCCCTTTAACAATGATGTGACCATTTATATAGCGCCAAACTCCAAACTTGTGTGTGCTCATAGCGCTAACAATCAATAGCACAGCACACTATTACCCCGGATAACCCAAGCTGCGTTAGAAGGTAATAGGGGCGGTGGGGTAGCCTAGTGGTTAAAGCCTTGGCTCGTCACGCCGAGGATCCGGTTCGATTTGCCACATGGGCACAATGTGTTGAGCCCATTTCTGGTGTCCCCCGCCGTGATATTTCTGGAATATTGCTAAAAGCGGAGTAAAACTAAACTCAGTCAGTCAGTCAGTAGAAGGTTATAGTGGCATAACTTTTTTCCACAGGGTACCCATTTTCCTGCTGGGTGAACAGAGTCAATTTTGAACAAACTCACTTGCCTATGGTGAGACCACATGCATTACATGCCCTAGACACTCTCAGGAGTCAAGCTGCCAAACACGGTCACTCATCAAAGACACTCCGCGCTCAACGTTGCTTAACTTCAACTGATTGGTGACCTGAGCCCTGAGCTCTGTACATAGGACCACACCCACAACCAGAACCCTTTGCCATTCCAGAATCCTATTATTGCTGCTATTGTTGGTTCGATTAAGTTCCTAGTTCTGTCAGCACTACACCCCTGCGCTTCAGTTTCAGTGAAGTAATACAGCCTGAATGAAGAACCGTCCTCCAACATTAGGCTGGAGAAGCTGCAGAAGCTTCAGTCAAACAGTCAGTTGTCGTGATCACAGGTTAATGACCGGAGAAATGGGGTACATTCCGAATGTGAAGGTCATTCTTCACACTCCAATTGACAAAGTGAGTTGGGTTAAACGCCGCTTGTAACAGTTTAATTTATAGGATTCTGGAATGGCAGGAGATTCTGGTGGTGGCGTGTGGTCCTATATAAAATATAAAAAGTTGTTTAACAATCTATCATTAAAATATTGACACAGTTCAATATTTATTACGAGGGAGGAGTGCAGAGAAAGGGACAGCAAGGTGTTCAGAACTACCCTCTGTTTGACCGAAGCTTCTAGAAAGCATGATACATTTCAAAGCCCATACGTAATACTATGTATTTTGGATACGACGTAGGGTAAAGAGTGACATACGCCCCGTAGACTGCTCGACTGACATGACTAAACGTCTTCGTTCGCTGCCATGCAGTATCACGTATACACCTCAACCCTGTAACGTTCAAATCAAACAATTCTAAATAGTGTCAGCATTCATAAGCCTTTCAACGCAATGGTGTAGTTATATATGAACAGTTAAGCGCGGCAGGTCTGACGTAAATCGATCCAGTACAAAGTAGAAAAATCAAGTGTTCAGCTTATAAAGCAAAAAACGTTTCACAATACTTGTTGACACACATGCTTGCATGAACAAGTTTCGGGATTTGTTGTCTGAACTGGCTCGCAATATCGCCTCCTTGTATATCCTATGGTTGACATTATAATCCTATATTCCAACACGTTAAGTGAGTACAATCATGCAAAGTGCATTATGCTTCTCTATTGACACCAAACCCCGATGCAGCTTGAACGACTTGTTGAAATTCCACGTCCACATTTCCTGTTTATTTCACCTGGTTGAATAACTGCATTAGAGATTGTTGAAACAACAGCTTTAAAAAATTCAGAATCGCTAATGAAACTTTATACGACTATGGAACAGGCTCGTATTGGGAATGTGGTTAGCGCAACGCTCGGGTTGACAATATCGCGTGTGTTATACACAAAGCACACCGCATTCTTTATTTGATACCAACACCCTGGTGGAATTCAATACACACACTACAGAGGATAAGTATAGCAGACACTACTCGCGTTGTTCTATATGAAAAGTGCGTTTTCACAATTAGTCAAATACTTGATATTGGAATATTGCCAAAATCGGAGTAAAACCATACTCACTCACCCTAACATTTCTGATTTAACACGCACGTAACCACTAACTGTGTAATCACGCAGCCACGAACTGTGTGACCACCTAACCACTAACTAGGTGTCCACGTAACTACTAACTGCGTGACCACCTAACCACGTGCACGAACTGTGTAACCACCCAACCACTAACTAGGTACCCACGAAACTACGAACTGCGTAACCATCTAACCACGAAATGTGTAACCACCTTACCACTAACTAGGTACCCACGTAACTACTAACTGCGTAACCATCTAACCACGAACTGTGTAACCACCTAACCACTAACTAGGTACCCACGTAACTACTAACTGCGTAACCATCTAACCACGAAATGTGTAACCACCTAACCACTGACTAGGTACCCACGTAACTACTAACTGCGTAACCATCTAACCACGAAATGTGTAACCACCTTAACCACTAACTAGGTACCCACGTAACTACTAACTGCGTAACCATCTAACCACGAAATGTGTAACCACCACTAACTAGGTAATAACTACTGCGTAACCAACCACCTGTGTAACCACTAACTAGGTACCCACGTAACTACTAACTGCGTAACCATCTAACCACTAACTAGGTACCCACGTAACCACTGACTAGGTACCCACGTAACTACTAACTGCGTAACCATCTAGCCACGAAATGTGTCTTTCACTCGTGTGCACAATGTCACAACATTTTATGCTCACTTTGTTCTTCTCATGCACCTTTGTTTAAATTCAAAATGTAGAGTTATTATTTTGTGATTAAATATATTTTTCATTATTCAGACACCAAAAGAGAGTGAAACGAGGCATCGAAATAACAGCCCTGAATATGATCCCGAAAACCAGGATTATGAAATGAATGGCTGTCAAAGTGCCATCACATCAGCACAAACAGCGGTGATTACTATTTACCAGGAAAACCCAGCACTGATATGGAGAATCATTGCTATTGTTGTGTTTGTGCTATACATGGGGTATTTTGCCTATGCTATGTACTGTCAATTTGGAGATGAAGGTTCTATCAGACTTCTGGTTGGGACAGTACTTGCTGTGTTACTCATCGTGGTGAATCTGGTGTGGGACTCCATCAAGGCCCCGTTTGAAGCATGTGGAAAGGCGTTAGCAGACAATGCCAGAAGAATGAAAATAGTCAGATGGTGAGTGATATTGCAATTACTGATGCACAAGTGGCTGGGATCTATGGCCTGTGTTTACGAGTTTCATCAAAGAGCACGCGAGGCTTTTTGAGCATGCGAGGCCTTTCCTTCAAGGCCATGTTGACGTGCTCAAAACATTAAGAATCCATTAAAGCGAACATTCGAAAACTCAACCTACTCTCCCAGCCATCTTACATGCTATCACATCATGCTAAAAAGCAGCGCATTACATATGTTGTAATTATATCAATGGCTATAATTTTAAAAATTTGTAGGTTTTGATATTCACTGCTCGCATTGTTTGCTGTTGTGCTATAGTTGTAATTTAATAGGTAGTAGTTATTACATGCAGTTGATTTATTTCAGGGTGCTGTATGTGGTGTGTGTAATTGCCATCATCATAATCCTGGTGATTGAGGTGGCGATACCAACTCCCAAGAACCTGATATCCCTCGCAGGTCTGGCTGCCTTCATCTTCTTGTGCTTCATCTCCTCCAGAGACCCTGGAAGGGTAGGTAGTACACTCAAATTGCTGGAAGTACTGACAACCATGATTAAATACCACACCCCATGTCTTGCTGCTTTGTAGAAACATGATGAAGGGTATTACATATCATTAGCCTCCGAAACATTAATCAAGCGACAGAATCTGTCAATCAAGTATTTAACTAGCATCCAATTTGTTTGTTTGTTGTTTAACGCCGTACTCTGCAATATTCCAGCTATAAGGCCGTGGTCTGTAAATCATAGTCTGGACCAGACAATCCGGTGATTAACATCTTGAGCAATCTGGATACGATGACGTGTCGCGATGTTAGTCGCCTCTTAGGAGAAGCATGGGTTCCTGATGACCAATTCTTTATCGGATCTTCAGGGACCAGCATCCAATAAGACTCTTTACCGTTCCTGCACATTGGGTTCATGGCGGGTTGTTCTTACTCTTCGCCTGACCTTATCCAGTCATTGCTACTTGTTAACAATCATCTGTTGTTAATGTTAATCACGACATACTGTACGTATATATACGTCTCATCTATCGGTTGTAGTCACCTTTAGCTTGATAAGGGTGCAAGACTGTACACTCTATGCAATACACAGGAAGTGTTATTGACTTTCCAACTTCCAGAATGACGAAACAATTCATGACGCATTGAATGATCGTGTTATCACATCAAACACAAACATTAGTCCATCTTTATACAAGCAAACACATCACAGATGTGGAGAATCATTGCTATTGGTGTATTCTGTCAAACTTGTCATATTTTCGCTATGCCATGTACTGGCAATGTCGAAATGACATTCTTTTGGTTGGGACCACACATCGTGATAAATCTTGGCACTGCCTCCATAAATAGTGCTTGTTATAAAGACATATAATATTACATGTTCTTGGAAAGATGAGCAGTGATCAGCTTTTTGTCAGAATATATACTGTATAGGACTCGGTACATGAGTGTTTCCAACTATCGGTTTTGAGATTTCACACTCGAATCTGAGCTTCTGCTAGCAATTAAAACAAGAATTTCAACTTGATAAAATATATAATGCAGTGTCATTTCATCATGATCATTATGGGGACGGTGGGGGTAGCCTCGTATTGATGCCTACAATCACTAGGCTTTAATCACGCTCGTCAGGCTGTAGACCATTGTTCGATTCTCGATATTGCTGGAATATCGCTAAATACGGGATGAAATTAAACTCACTCATTCATAATCATCATGTCTATAATTATATTTTCAGGTTGACTGGCACCCGGTGTTCTGGGGACTGGCACTGCAGTTCTTCTTCGCGGCCATCATCTTGCGGACGCAGTGGGGGTATAATGGGTTCAAGTGGCTTGGCGATCGAATCACAGAATTCCTGGCCCACACCGATGCTGGATCTAAGTTCGTCTTTGACAATACGTCAGTCCATTTCTTTGCATTTTCTGTGAGTATGTTCACAATACTTCAACAACTATCATTGCAATTTTGGAATATCCTAGTAATATTATTATTACATATATCATCCACTGCATTCTGGATACATCAAATTAAAAAAAGTTAGACATTATTATGCTGATAGATAGGTACTCATAATTCAACACCACAGGTGTACCGACCAAAGCGGACAGTCACTTTTTACTGATAATATATAACTTCTGGTACTTTCATGCTACAGTTCCACTGTTTTTCTGATAGGCAGCATCAAATCAATGTTGATATATTTCCAATACACGAAAAGCAAGAGAATGAAAACATATATGGTATTTCTATGAGTTATCGACCATTAATGAGGGCAATACAGTTTTATTGAACCATGGGACGAATGTCATTTTTCTTCCATGGTCTATAAAACATGATGTTGACCGGAATGTGTTCAATAATTGTTCCTTTACTTGATATACGAAACAACAATATTTTAATTTTAATATTTCATGCGACCAAGTACACATTGTTGATAATAGCTTTTCTTCAGTGTAAATTACATTAAAACGATCAGCCATGGAGAAGATGCTTCACAGTGAACTTGGTTACCCTCTCGCTGATGTACAACAACCCAGTTTCTCTTTTAAATGCAATAGAGTAATCGTCCAGGGATTCCACTTTGGGATCGCAACCTGGAAAGGTTACCTCTTAAAGAAGGCCATTTTCTCATTTAAAGACATTTCATATATAATTCGTAAATGCAATAAGAAAATATACTACCCATCAAAAGTTTAGACTCCCTTAAAGCACTCACTATATGTTATGTATATATATATATATATATATATATATATATATGTATATACGGTTACATCGAAGATGAATTTCTCCACTAACTAAAGGGAACCATCTGCAAACCTCATGCAGATGAATTGCATGAGGATCATGCATCAATTTTCTTAAAGAATGTGCAAACATCGTGCATGTAGACAGCTGCGTTTTGGTGTAAATTGGCGAATTGTTAAGAATTCGCCAATTTCCACTGAGTTTCATGATTTTTGAAAGCATGACAATAATCTTTTCAACGTTACGAATGCGTTTTACAATACATCAGTTCATTTAGGAAATTCTAGTTTACAACAGTTGAGTGAAGTAAGTGGCTACATTTACACTAGTGAGTCTAAACTTTGGATGGGTAGTATATATGTACGACTTCATTCAAGATGACTTGATTCCAAATATGAATTATTTGCTTTCAGATCATGCCTGTGGTCACCTTCTTCAGCGCCTTCATCTCCATCACATACTACCTGGGCGTCATGCAAGCTATTGTCAAGGTCTTTGGACGGTTTCTCTCCTTCTGTCTGGGAACCACACCAGCGGAGTCACTGAATGCTGCTGGAAATATTTTTGTCGGCATGGTACGTGCTTCGTTTGTATATTTTTTCCGTGTTCAGAAAGCCATTTCCAAAGTGTCTGGGATTACGTTTTATATTTGCTGAAGTCATGATGTGCGATGTCAGGCAGCAATTGGAAGCGACAGAACCCTTTGCTGAATCTTTTTGCATGGATCTGTATATGAAACACATGAGGAAGTCTCACTTGCCATCTCCATTTCAAGTCCTGGTTGGTAAATCAGGGGAATGGGATTGGCTATTTGAAAGTAATTGAACAGCATTAAGTTATCGATATACCCGAGGCTTAAGTTAGTCTTCTTCGCCAAGTCACTTTGTTTTGATTTTGCCAACCCAAGCGGAAATCAATATGCAAAACGAAACAGATCCGCAAGGATTGGACCTCAGCTGGTACCCATCGGGATGGATGCTTCTTGTCTTAATCTTTACTTTTTGAAAAAATTGATTTACGGATTCTAATGATAAAGCATGCTGCTTAACGTGGTGTCATAACGTAAATTCATTGATCCATATATACTCTTCACAAAAAAAAACTTGACATAGAACAATTTGAATTTTAGGAAAATATTAGACACAAACCAATCCATGCTGAATCCCAACATGTTGGGGAATGGTTGCCGACGACAAAATGTTTGCAAAAAGAAACGTTGAACAAAACGTAACGTTACACTTACGCCTGTAGTGAATCGCTAAAACGCACCCTATAGGAAATGCACGTGCATCATGAAATTGTGTATCACCCTGAGCGGAAGTCTATGTCTGTAGACTTTAAAAAACCACATCAATGGTACTCCACATGCATTGCTTTAAGCCACTGTAGACGACGAGAGAATGAATAGACTGACAGAAGCTCAACGACACAACGCCATCGGCCGTTTACAGGGATGGGCATCGCAGCATGATGTGGTAAGGCACTTCAGCGTGTCCAGACAGACCATCTCAAACCTATGGACCCGACACAACAATACTGGGAGTGTTAATGACCTAGAGTTACCACCGCCGCCCTGGATCGCTACATCCGGTTGAGACATCTTCGTTCAAACACCATGGCCGCATCATCCACAAAAATCCAAATCCCTGGACTGCGTCGAATCTCCGACCAGACACTGCGCAATTGGCTATGGGAATCTAGACTTATTGCCAGAAGACCAGTTCAACGTCAAGTCGTTTCCTTCATCAACGTCAACTGTTGATCTTTGGAGCATGACAATGTTCGACCTCACGTTGCACGTGTTTGACAGGGCTTCCTCCAGCAAAACAATGTTCAGGTGTTACCTTGACCTTCTCGATCACCGGATTTGTCCCCCATTGAACATCTGTGGGATACTCTTGATCGACGCTTGCGCTAGCGTAATCCGCCACCTCAGACACTTCAAGAACTGCACACATCACTTCAGCAAGAGTATCAAAACATTCCTCAAGACAAAATTCGCATCTTTCTTTCTTCACCGCTGCCAAGCTGTTATCGGTGCTCATGGTGGTCACACCATATACTGACAATACACTATGACCGAGTGAATTTAATAGCCCTCTGTGGTTTTACCAAACACTTTCTGGATAACCATGTTTTGGAAATTTGTAAAGTGATGCTTTTACTGTAATTGAGCAACGATGTCATGTTTGAATCAGTTATATGCACTCAGTAAATTAACTCCAAAAGAGCAATGTCAAGTTTTAAGAGTATATATACAATTTTCACAATATGATATCATCAAATTGCCGAGTGCCCAATTTACAAGGGTGAACAGGAAATGAAAGAGACCAGTGACGCTTTCTTATCTCTTTTTTTATATTTGTATTCTTTGTATATATTCAGAGTGGTAATATTTATTCAGAATGGCATACCCTGTAATGTGTGACACGATATATGACTTCCAACTTCCAACAGTCATCTTCAAACAGTAGGTCGAGCAGTTCTAGCTTCTGGGATCTAGGTTTCACAATGTTTGTGCTCCTTTAACGAAGATGCAACCCATGTTTCATCAGGCGATTTCAAAACGTTTTGCGGCGGGCATGTTGAGGATACATGCAGTTACGGGTCAAATACAGTTTCCCCATTACGAGTACTATCTGTTTCCTGGTTGTTTAGGTAAACAATTCACTAGCTTGTTTGTCACAGAAGCCACACGTGGGACAGGATACTCTCACCATTAATAACGCCTGTCTGTTCAATGTCTTTTTTACCAAATGTAACTTATTACATATAAACCATAAGTTTCCAAAGAATTATAATATCACCCAGATCTGGAGAACATGAACCTGCCGTTATGAGCAGCTACAGTAAATGCCTGGTTGTGTTTCAGACGGAAGCTCCTCTGATGATCAAGCCATTCCTGGATACTATGACAATATCTGAGCTCCATGCAGTGATGACAGGAGGATTCGCTACAATTGCGGGCAGTGTGCTTGGAGCTTACATAGGCTTTGGGGTAAGACACCATGTAATCTCCAGAGTGAAATATGTTATACATACTTCGTATTTTGATCCATGTACTTAGCAGTTCAAGTGAATTATGAAAATGTCTAACTGTATATTATTTTCATTTTGAACCAGCACTTGATCAAACTCTTTATTGACTAAGTATTGGCAAATAATAAATAAAATATCTCTAATTGTGGGCCTAATGCTAAGATAACGCATTAATACATCCATGAAATTCACAAAACAATAAAATATCTGGTATTGAAAGGTCCATCTATTCACATATTGGCTTTGGTTTTATTTGTAGTTAAACTAAGTATTGGCAAATAATAAATAAAATATCTCTAATTGCGGGCCGAATGCTAAGATAACGCATTAATACATCCTTGAAATTCACAAACCAATAACATATCTGCACTAAATGGTGAAAATAATTACGTTAATAATCAACATCCCCCCTGATTGGAGCAATATTTCAACAGCATAAAACCTTGATGTCTTTATTTCATTACAACCGACCATGTAGGTTTTTGAGAAATTTCAACGAGCCTCATACAACTCTTGCTCAAACGTTGTTTAATCGAGGTTAACACTCCAGGTTCGAGTAAAGCCTTCAAACAGCGTTTTCTTAGGCTGATGGAGAACATCTCCAGATTTGACGCAATGTGATTTCAAACTTCTTGCTCATGATACAGTCCGAATAGTACAATGGGCTTTAACCAAATAGCTCTTACGAATTTGAAAATGTCATGTCTATGATTGAAAGGGGTGGTAGGGTTGCCTTGTGGTTAAAGCATTCGCTCAGGTTCGATTCCCGAATATGGGTGCAATGTATGAAGGGATTCTTACTTCGGACCTGACTCATCCTTCAGGTTCCCCCCAACCATTTACTGTCAGCGTCAGTGATGTCGGCACCAGCGGCTTTGGCCATCTCTAAACTAATGTGTCCGGAGACGGAAAGGACGGCATCCACGTCGGAAGACTATAACAAGATGAAGAAAGGGTAAGTTTGTGCCACAGCAGTTGCAGTGACAGCAGTCGAATTGCTGGTATCATTAATCCTTATCGTGGATCCTGGATCAGAAGTGATTTCAAAACACAGACTTGTTAGCTTGTTAAATAGTGTATTTCTTCAAAATCAAAACAGAGACGATGGGGTAGCCTGGTGGTTAAAGCGTTCGCTCGCCACGCGGAAAACCCGGGTTCGATTGCCGACATGGGTACAATGTGTGAAGCCTATTCCTGGTGCACCCTGCCTTGATATTGCAGGAATATTGCTGCAAACGGCATAAAACCTCCCTAACTCACTCACCTAATCATAACAGACTGTAGCAGTGTCAATAAAAGACGAATCGACATGACTCCGTGTCACTTGTAGACATGTCATGACACTAATACGGTGTATTGTGACGCCTGGAATGACTTTTGAATAACCTGCATCAGTTATGTTTTGTGATGAGAACCGTAATTAATAATCTTCAGCAACCCATGCTTGTCGTAAGAGGCGGCTACCTGGATCTGGAAGTCAGACTCGTTGATTTGGCTGACACATGTCATCGTATCTCAGGTGCGTAGATCGATGCTCATGGTGGTGATCACTGGATTGTTTGGTCCAGACCGAATTATTTAAAGGCCGACGCCATGTAGCTCGAATATTGCTGAGTACGGCATAGAATTAAACCCACTCACTCACTGCTTTAAGATGCAAATGACTGTGGGTAAGACTAATAGAGTTTTGTGAAATCAACACGAATTGGCAACAATTGAAATCATACAGACATACAAACCCAGTTTTAACCTTAAATATAGGAATGGCCCTTTGGTTTACAATTAAGACATAATTTTTCATTACTTTCAATTCCAGTATAGCCACCAGTTTCCACTGCAATATTAGAATGACTGTATCTGAACTGGGCGGTGGGATACGTTCGCTCGTCACGCCGAAGACTCGGGTTCAAATCTACACATGGGTACAATGTTTGAAGTCCATTTCTAGTGTCCCCCGTCGTGATATTGCTGAAATGTTTCTAAAATGGCGGCGTAAAACTAAGCTCACTCACTCACATCTGTCCTCTTAATACTTTAAAATGTCAAAGATCACCCCCACCACCCCGCTGTATAAAATGACGGTTGGAGAACATCAGGTCTTAGTGTGTCAAATGCCTTCATGACAACTATTAAAGGGACAGTCTCGCATTCAATTCACAATCAATGGAGATAATATATTATGTTTAGTTCGGTGGCCAGAAGTAATAGCACACCCACACACTTTTCAAGTGTTGAAATACCTTCATAATCAATGTATGTTTCTTCAAACTTTCAATATCCCATTAAAGCATAGAAAGTGATCAATAGTTGACTGTGTACTTCAATCGAGCTTGAGACCACACATCAATCACGGCGGTTGGAGTAGCCTCCCTTGTCTGTTGTCATTACTTGTTTAGTGATAGAATGCATTTAATCTTCATGCTGAAAATGGTTTGTTTTTTTCTTTATGCAGCTTGTGGCCACGTGTCCTTTAAAAGAAGCTACAGACAGTATTGAAGCCTTAAAACTGATCAATAGAAACCCACTTTACTTCATCCCCTCTGCGTAACGATGAACTCATCAACAAAACTTAACTGGTTGTATTATTGTACAAACACCCGTAACCCCATTAGCTTCTACATGTATCCCTTGTCACTGGCTTCTACCTGTACTCCCTTGTCATCACATTGTTACTGTACATCCCAATTCACGTCCTTGATGTTTTTGTTAATTATTTATTAATAATTAATATATATAAACAAGTGATTTCTGCAGGTGTATCAGCAATAAATATATAAAATATGAGTCCAGATATTTCTTCTTGCCAAATCTCTTTTACATCTGCACTTTATATCTCCTATATATATATATAGTCCCCTGTTTTCTACCTTACTCATACTTGCTTGACAACGATACTGTATCGAAACGTCGCATCTACCGAATAAAAAAGTAGTTTATCCATAAAGTTTGTGTGTATATCAAAATTTAAGTCAACAACATATAAAACCATTAAAACATAACTGCTATCATGAAATATATACTGTTATCACGAAACGAAGTTAGAAAATCGATGATGAATACGAAAATGGGTAGAAATGCCATACTTCCGATCCTGATACCTTCTTAACATCTGTCTAGTTTCCAAAACTTCTCATTGTACATGATGAAGTCCAAGCTGAAAGTAAATGTTTACCGGGAATCAGTCCAACAAACAATAAAAACTGTGATGTAATTTACAATTTATTTAAATCAGTACATAAGTATCACTATGACAGTACAAAATATACAGCTCTTTAGAAAAATATTGTGCAGTTCTTAATATAGCACATCACTGCCCCTTATTAGGTACAATCCATAACACTTGACACACACGGACTGACTGACTGACTGAGTTTTGGTTTTACGCCGCTTTTAGCAATATTCCAGCAATATCACGGCGGGGGACACCAGTAATGGGCTTCACACTGGACACACACACATGGTATAACATAACAATGTTGAGTATGCTTCAGATATCTTACCGAAATCTATATCAATCGTTTCAGTACATCACTCGTAGTCTTTATTGCCAACAATTCGTATTTCACAGGCAGCAGCGAAACCTTATAGAGGCAGCTTCCGAGGGTGCCACAACGTCCATCGGTCTCATCGCCAACATCATCGTCAACGTCATAGCCTTTCTCGCTCTCCTCGCCTTCGTCAATGCCACACTTACCTGGTTTGGAAACCGGGTTGGTGTAGAAGAATTTACATTTGAGGTAGCTTGTTAATGTTTACTTACATATTAATGTAGTGTTTCGTTACGTGTTTTACTCGTGTTAATACTCATTGGATTCAAGTTCAGTAGAACCAGAAATACTGTAGAGACTGGTTATACGTATCATATTTTCCATTAATCTTGTTAATTCCACTGATTTTGTTCAATGGCGAATAAAAGGGACGAACAGAATACAATCCAAAGATGGAGGAAAAGCAAACGAAGCCTTGGTTGAAATGTTATGTTGTATTCAATACAAAAGAATACCTAGGTTTGTCTAGCCTCAGAAATAGATTTCAATAGTTAAGATCAAAAGGCTAAAATATACATCAGTATCTGTATCTATCAGTGTCAAACAACAAATAATAATTAAATAGTGCCAGACAGTTGGAAAGTGTCGCAAACCCATCTTAAGGTCGTAGTATGGAATAGCATCACACATTTTGACACACGCTCATATTTGGTAATCAATCGAGAAGACAATCAGAGTCAATTGGGATTCAAACCCTCGATGACCAGGCCCTGGTTCGGCCACAGCTATTCCCTGTGTACTGAATGTCAAACCTTCATTTGGAAGCTTGCAATGTATTGTCTTCTCCTTTCAGTTCATTTGTTCCTACCTGCTGTACCCAGTTGCCTGGTTCATGGGTACACAACCAGCTGACTGTCGTCGTGTGGCGGAGCTGGTGGGCGTGAAGACCTTCACGAACGAGTTTATCGCCTACAAATCTCTCCAGGAACTGTTGCAAAACAGACAGACGTTCCTGAACTACACAGAGACCTACGGCTACAAGGACGAGTGGTACTGGGATGACCAAGCTGTTGTTCTTACTCAGTGGAATATGACGCTTAAGAGAGGATTCATGGAGGTTCGTGTTTGCTGCATTATTCCATCTGAAGTTACTTGAGCAAGACACATTGTTGTACGTCGTTCACGTGGAACATGGTTTGCGTATATTTTCTTCTTATTCGAAATAATATAAAATAAAATGTCGTTTATGAGCATGTCCAGTGGACCTATATTTGGAAAATGTGTAAACATCTGAAACCACTGAAAGGTTTTCTACCAAACCCACACCTGAGACAACGTAAATATTGAGTGAGTGAGTTTTACAACAGCAATATTCCAAATATGGCGGCGGTCTGTAAATACTCAGGTCTGGACGAGACAATCCAGTGACCAACAGCATGAGCATCGACCTACGCAACTGAGATACGATGACATGTGTCAACCAATTCAGCAAGCCTGACCACCAGATCCCGTTAGTCGCCTCTTACGACAAGCATGGGTTACTGAAGATCAACTCTTACCCGGATCTTCACGGGTACAATGTAAATAGTTGTTGTTGTACAGCTGTCGGTTCATGCATGTTATCTAATCCTACGTTTTGTTTCATACGTTCCAGGAACGCTCAGAGGTCATATCAACGTATGCATTATGTGGGTTTTCCAACGTCGGGTCGATGGGCATCCTTCTAGGTGCATTATCGGCGCTTGCTCCGTCTCGGAAGAAAGACCTTGCCTCCATAGTCCTCAGGGCAATGATAGCAGGAAATGTCGCATGCTTTTTGACAGCATGTATAGCGGGTAAGAAAATATTTTAGTTAGTGAGTGAGTATGGTTTTACACCGCTTGTAGCAATATTCCAGCAATATCACGGCGGGGGACACCAGAAATGGGCTTCACACATTGTACCCATATGGGGAATCGAACCCTGATCTGGGAGGTGACGAGCGAACGTTTTATCCACCTCACCGCCCCTTTTTAATTTTAGAAAAGTAAACATCATCGCATTTTGCACTGAAGTGTTTCAAATATCATTTGCTAAGCTCTCAGTTTCAATGAATGTCCCTGTTATAGGCACTGACAGCCTTGAGCGTAATTCAATGATTGATCCTCGGCTTGATTGTACATATGCCGACCGCTGCCACTTCTATTGTCACAATATCGATACGCAATCTACAATAGTAATACGTGTAGAAAATCGAAGCAATACAATAATTAAGGTATGTATGTGATATTTCATCTAATATATTCTCTTTTCAGGTTTGTTTTTCCGAGAATTCTGAGCCACCAGTGAGGAACCATATACTAGTGGGTTCGGCAACCAAGCAACCTTTGAGATCTGCATACTCTATGCACCATCGTACTCGACAAATATGAACAATGGCAGGAAGGATGCATAATACCGGTTTATAATATTCTATACATGACGCATTGGATAATCAGTACAATGTGGTTCGCTCATATGTTTAGTGTTTTCCAAAATAGGAGTGATTGTATAAATATTTGTTAGATGAAATATGGACGACAGAGTGCCGACGTCAGTTACGAAACCTACTTAATCGTGAGAGAGGATATCCTGGACCGTAATATAACTTCTGAAATTACAAATATTTATGATATTGTTTAGAAACTTACATATCAACTTGAAAACCAACCACCACAACTACAAGCAACAACTGCCATCCGCGTACTTTAGAACAATTGGGCAGTGGTTGACTGGGGCAGTAACTTGTCATTGAGGAGTGCTGTTTAAGAGGTTTAAATGAAACTGCAGGTTTTCTTTTTTACATATTCACAACCATCAAACCTCTCCAAAATCACTCTTTGAAAAGTAAAGTTGGTTGAATGTAAATTAAAGCGTTAACGTTGTTTGAATAACTTGTTTCTGCTCAAAGAAAGCAAGACTGCAAAATCACTTCAGACAGATAAAATATGTGAAGCGAGAAATCCATGTTCATTATCACAAGAAATCATTCCAAATTTGTACGTCAGAGCACCGTATGACCATTGACATTGACTCATTATCTTACTTGACCTTGAATCATAATTATATTTGACCTTGAATCATAATCTTACTTGACCTTGAATCATACTCATAATTGACTTTGAATCATAACCCCTGTCCCTTGGTATTTGAATCTTTAGGAAAGTTTGATAACATGTACAGAGGCATACTTTATCTTAAATAATAATTTCAGGAAAATATTCCTTGATACTCATTTTCGAATTATTTAAATAGGATAAACTACACGAGTTTTAATCATTCTTTTTATACCAGAAAATTTGCTCAAATGTATAATTCCCCTCTATTCAGTGCTGCTTATATATTTTATGTTGTGCTGCTATTACCATGTTCCATAGACACATATGAACAGGCAGTTGAAGTCATGATCTAGATGGTTATAGCAATACACATGTAGCACACTGCCCATGGTAACACGATATGTAACATAAGTTCGTGATGTTTATATGGTTTTATGCATGTTTTATAATAAAACTTTCTGTAAGTGATTGTGTTTGTAGTCTTATCAATCCAACAATATAACGACGCTATCGTGGTATAATCAGCTAGCGTGCTAACGTTACATCAACAATACGACATCAAGAGTGTATGTCAGTATTGTTAGTGTGTGAGTTGGATTTTGAGCCGCTCGAAATAGCATTATTCCAGCAATTTCACGGCGGTGGACACCAGAAATAGGCTTCATATATTATACCCATGTGGGGAATCGAACCCGGGTCTTCGGCGTGTCGAGAGAACACTTTGACCACAAGGCTACCCCACCGCCCCAATATTTTTAGTGACTTCGTAGATTCGTCCAAAGAAACTGAGGGTTCTCAGTAGGTCAGCATCCCGTGTAGGCCACATTTTAGTGTTACTATTTTGTACATTACTCTCAGCAATATTCCAGTTATAAGGTGGCAGCCTGTACATAGTTTTGTTCCTGATAAAACCAGTGGTGGATAACAAGAACATCGTCTCATTACGTCGGGGTAGGAGAGTGCAATCCCAAAACGTAACAATCAAAACTAATTATTCCTACACCAAAGGCACATGGCTTGCTGGGGGTTCGGTTCTTACCCGATATCCTCAAGCAGTACTCGGGATCTACATTCACTGGCACTAGTGATGTGCATGGGCGGACGTCTACCAGGACTTAACCTGAACTCAATACACCGGGTATATCCTGTTTCTTAAGGCGTTGGCTATTGCCGCCGGCTCGGACTGTTACTTACACAAATGGATTTGTTCCCTGCTTGGACATCCGTATGTTTAACGTGCAAACACGCAAGGGCTAAAAATATTTTAAATAAAATGTTTTTCATTTAAAATGTACCTTGTTATGAAAGCTCTTATGTTGTTGTTGATCGAGTAACTTTGCTTCCGAAACACTTTTTTAATAAATGTAGATGAAGAAAGATCCACATCACCCGATAAAGGTATTTTGACATCTCACATGACATTTACATTTCCACACTGGCGGGGAAAAGTGGGATAAGGACACTTTTATTATTTCACGTTGGAATGAAAATGCAGGGCGGGCGGGGCAACTATTGACTGGCTTCAGAAATCGGTATTACGTTGCCGTTCGTATAATAGTGAGTGAGTTTAGTTTTACGCCGCAATCAGCAATATTCCAGCTATATGGCGGCGGTCTGTAAATAATCGAGTCTGGACCAGACAATCCAGTGATCAACAGCATGAGCAATCGGGAACCGATGACATGTATCAACCAAGTCAGCGAGCCTGACCACCCGATCCCGTTAGTCGCCTCTTATGACAAGCACGAGTTAGTGAAGATCAATATTCTAACCCGGACCTCCACGGGTTCGTTCGTATAATAGTTTATCTATGACTTACTGTTAGTACGGTTTTCATATGTACAGTCAGTTACCAGATTCACAGAACGGCAGTTCAACAGAATAGCAATATATACAGAAGTTGATTCGCATTAATGTAATACCATACGCCGTGTACATTTACAATCCAGGTTTCTATCTCACAAAGCTGCTTAGCAATACGGTGATCGGAACTCTCATACTACATTTGACCTACGACTCTCACTGCGCTGCGCCCGATTTGTGAAACGCCGCACTGCGCCAAGACTAACGCTTAGTCCCTGAATATATATCATTTTGAATGTAACCAATACACTCATGTAAATTGAAAATGAGCCCCAGTGAATTGTGGGATTATTGGGGGAAATCTTGGGAAATCTAGACTTGCTTCATTTAGGGTTTTAACATTGCAAGGAGTAGGGAAAATATTGTGGTTCAGGGACTATGAGACAGACTACCCTGGGGCACGAAGTTTACATTTACGTAACAACACCCTATGACCCAATTGGTGAACAGGAAACGCCAGCGGGAATAATGTCATCTGACGACAGCCTTGTAGCAATGTTGCTGGGGTCATCAAGTGAGCACAGGCTCCTCTCTGTGTTTTATCATTTCAACACGCATTGTCATTGAATAAGCCCAGCGTTATTGAGAGTTTTCATTATTTGTTATTGAAGCGAGTTTATGTATTTTTGATCTCCAACATCTCCAACTTTACCTGAGCAAAGACATTCCTTCCAAAACTCAGAACGGAACCCAGGAAATGGTCTCCTGGCCCCGATTTCTCGAAACAAACTTAAGTCTTAGTTTCGACTTAAGTTAGAGTTTTGACTCAAATTTGAGAAAATGCATTTCCCAAAATGAACTAAAATCGATACTAAACTCAAACATAGTAGACGATTTGAGTTTGGTGGATAGATTACTTAAGTTGTTTGGGCTTTTTTATTTAAAAAATGCAGTTGAGTTAAAAAATTCAGCTGTTTCAAATTGTCCAACTCAGTTTGAAATTTGAGTAAAAACTTAAGTTTGTTTCGAGAAATCGGGGCCTGATCTTGGAGATAGTACAGGGTTCTTCATGTTTTTCAAGCAACTCGTGCTGCACGTGCAGTTCACAAGAACCAGCCCTATAAAATGCACCCCCCCCCCAAACCTGGTTGAAACATTCACATTACAACGTCAGCTGTATGCCGCGACTCACGACAGCTCAGAGGAACCAGCCGATAGGAAGACTTGAAGCTGGCCACACTGCACAAGCCGTTGCCAATCACTTCCAGGTCAACGTTCGGACCATCTACAAGCTGCAGTAACGTTTCTGGGCCACCAACACCGCAAATGATCGCCCCCGTACTTGCAGACCAAGGGTGACCAAAAGACGACAAGACCACCATGTTGTGCGACAGCATGAACAGAATCCATTCATGCAGGTATCCGAAACAGCACGCCAGACAGTGGGAACACACGGAAGACCAATCAGTACTGATACAGTATGCCGACGTCTTAACAGCGGGAACCTCCAATCACGTAGACCTTACCGTGGACCTTTCCTCACCCCTCGTCATCGGCGTGAACGTCTACAGTTTGCCCTTCATCACCAAAACTGGCGATACAGGCAATGGAGAACTGTTCTGTTCACAGATGAGAGTCGGTACTGCGTATCAACTGCAGATGGCAGAACAAGAATATGGCAATGACGTGGCCAGCGTTACTCAGACCAATGTGTTATGGAAAGAGACTCACGGGGAAGTGCAAGCATCATGGTATGGTGTGGAATAGGCCTAAACCAGAGAGTGGGTCCTGTGTTGTTCCAGAACCTTGGTCCAGGGCGAGGAGGCGGCATCGACCAAGCTCTCAGACCCCACGTCATACCACATTTCGGACGTCACCGGAACAACATTTTACAGCATGATAACGTCCGGGGGCCCATACTGCCAGAGTTACACGGGACTTCCTACAGAAGAACGGTGTCAACATTATGCAGTGGCCAGCCCTTAGTCCTGATTTAAACCCAATTGAACATCTTTGAGATGAAATTCAGAGGAGACTGAATAAATGTCATCATACCAAGGCCGAACACAGCCGAACAGGCCTTTTCTCAGAGTGTGGTTCCAGGTGCCAATTGCCTTCATCAATCGATAAGTGCACTTCATGCATAGACGCTGTGATGCAGTTATTGCCGCTCGTGTTAGTCACACTAGATACTGAAGTCAAGAGTCTGAGTGGACTGCAAACGTTCACGTAATGTCTTGAAATTGTGCTGAGTTATTCATTGATGTGTCAAGATATTGTACACAAAATATGTAATTGATCCGCTTATTATGTCCATTTATGTAATGATTTGATTACAGTGCCTATCTAATTTTGGATTCGTACTGACGTTGTTTGTTTTTTTGGTTTTTTGCTGCTGGGTATATTTCACCTCAGGAATACCTGTATGGTAGGTTCTCAATTACTAGTATACATTAACGTGCCACGTAGGTTCATGTCCATGACATCTTTTCAAAAGTTCACACGACAAACACACCACTTCGAGTCAACACGCAGGTGCTTGTTTACTGAAACATGAATCTAAGATCTGTTTAGATATGCAATCGTGTAGGTAAACAATTCCGAGCATTTAATGTGAATACATTAATGTGTATTACCTCACACCAGCTGACATGTTTATGTAAGGAAACAAACACCTGCAGTGTCATGTAGGCGAGGCAACTCAAGCTTCAATGCATTTGGCAAATAAAAGCTTCTCAAATATATTTCGTTCTTTAAAAATATTGTTGTCCATTATCTGTGTCGCTTTGACTGTATGTCGTCAGCTATAGCTGAAGAATTCCACTTACTGTTTAAATGTGAAGGTTTTTATGAATGCAGATTCAAATTTATCCCAAATAAATACATACAGTTCCCTAATATAATAAAGTACAAAAATTGGAGTAGAAATGTAAAGAAATCAAGGACCTTGCACAATTCATCTGTATAATAGATAAGTACCTTTCGAGTGGGATTGTACACATGTGTACAGATTTTCTGATGCGGATGTTATATTTATCTAACATATGTTTATATTTGGGATTACACTTTCTTAGTAAAGTACAGATTCTAGGGATCGAGGATTCGAACCCACACCCTCAGAGTCAGGCACCTAATCGCCAGCACACAAAGTCAGCGGTCTAGGCGTCTGACTTTGTGTGCTAACGATTAGGTGCCTGACTCTGAGGGTATCGGTTCGAATCCCGGATGGGACTCAACCCAACAAAAGTACTAGAATCTGTACTTTACTAAGAAAGTGTAATCCCAAATATAACATATGTGAACGATGAACCACTTTCTAAATGGAATTGTGTATTTTATATTTATCTGTCTAGATTTATATATTCATAATTGTTTTCAGTCACAATATCTTAATGTCGCCAATTATCTGTACAATATAACCGCCATCATGTTAAGTACAAATAATTGTTATTTTTCGAAAACCTTTCTCCGGTACCACTGTGGGTGGTTCTTTTTGAGAATAGAATGAATTGAATTGAATTGTTAACTTCCATAAAATGTCTATTAAACACTGTATCTATATAAACAAAACCTTTTACATATTCATGAGCAATCCGTGCTGAAAGTAGCGCCGAGCTCTGTCGGGTTGAGCAAGCCATGGTTGTGAATCAGATGGGGTGTATGGA